CTAATTTTTCTGAAAAATGTCTTTTGCTTCCATCTCTATCAAAACTGCTCTTATTAAATGATCTTTAGCTTGCTGAGTTCAATGGTCGAACTCTCAGTCTTCCACCTGACCAGTCATCTGACTCTCTCCCCTGCTGGAGGTGCTTGGTTCCCTTGGCATTCAGAGTACCAACCTTGCCTCATTTCTCTTCTATCTTGCTGGTCAGTCCTACTTAATCTCTTCTACTGGTACCTTCTCCTCTCTCCATCCTGTGAATGTCAGTGTGCCTCAAAGCTCACAGTCCCTGAGGTCACTTCTCTTTTCTGTCCACACTCACTCCCTGGGTTAACACTTCCAAGGTATTGGCTTTAAATATCTTCTGTCTGCTTGCTGATGACTCCCACATTGTATCTCATTGTATCTCTGCGAGGATAACCTCCCTAAACTCTTGCCACAGAAATCCAATTGCCTCCCTAGTATCCTAAGATATTTCGTAGGTGGCTCAATCTTAACATATCTAAAACTGTACCTATGATACTATGCCCAAAACTTCAGTCTTCTCCATCTCAGTGAACTGACATCACAAATCTAGTTGCTCAGGCTAAAAACCTTGGAGTCATCTTTTATTATCTCTTTATTACTTTTATACCCCACAGGTAATGGCAGGAAATCCTGTCGATTATACCTTCCAAACATATCGTATCCATAATCTCATAACTACTGTGATGCACAACTCCAGGAAGAATCATTTGTGTTTTTGTCGATGTGAACACTGCCCCTGGAGTAGTGCAGTGTATCACCCACAAGGCCATATGTGCTGGCTCTGGTATTACCTTAGTTCAACTATCATCATTTCAAACTTAGATCGCTGTAAAATAGCTTCCTAACTGGTTTCCCTGCTTCTGCCCTTGCCTGCTTACTCTCTGTTCTCAACCTAGTAGTCAAACCAAATTTAAGTAAGTCAGATCACTGTTCTACTTAGAGCCCTCAAAGGGGTTGCCTCTCATCCAGAGGAAAAGGCAGAGTCCTTAGAATGATCTATGAGGTCCTTCTGAATCTGCCATCCCTCTCCCATTGTGTCTTTCACTTTGCTCCTTCTTCCAGACATAATATTGGGCTTCCTTAGACATTTCAGATAAATGACTGCCTCAGGGCCTTTGCACTTGCTATTCCATCTGTATGGATTTCTTCCATACTTCCTTTAGGTCTTTATACTCAAATGTCAAATCCTTGTAGAAGTTTTCTTAGACCACTCTATTTGAAATTCCATCTCCTACATCCTCACAATTCCCACCCTCATTTCCTGCTTTATTTTTCTTCCTAGTAGGTATTACTATGTAATATACTTTATGATTTACTGATCTGTCTTGATTACTAACTGTTCCCCCTACTAGAATGTAAACTCCATGAGGGCAGCAATTTTTGCCTGTTTTTCTCATAGCTGGATCCACACGATCTGAAATATCTCCTGGCTTAGAGAAGGCATATAATTATGTATAACTTTTTTTTTTCCCAGTGATATAAACAAAAGTTCAGTCAGTGCATAAAGAAGCTGAAATAAAGTGGGGAAAGTAAGAAGGGGGGTTGGGAAAAGTAAAATTAGAAGGTTAAAAGTAAGTAAGAAGTTAAGATGCAGAACCAAACTTTCAGAGTCCCTTGGCTCTTTGCTTTGTGGTTATCTGTGAACAGTACATTTAAAAACTCATGGAGTGTGAGAGAGGAGACCCTAGAGAGCACCCTCACTTTACAGATGAGGAAGTTTCTTTTCTAAGTTGTGCTGGCAGGGTTTTCAATTATTCACGGCTACCAAGACACGGTCCACTTAGCTCACTTACGTCATGGAAAATGGTTGTGAAGAATGGCAACTCAGGTGGGGGCAAACCCTTTCACAGAAAAAGACTACAGTGGAATCAGGCTCTCCCATGCACATGTTTTTTTTTTACAAAAACTGTTTCCATAGTTTATCAATCAAGCACATATGGTAAGGAATGAATGTACTTTCCTACTTTTTTTAGCTCTAACCACTTAGCTAATTTAAGACGCTATTCCTGGTGGAAAAAAAAAACAAATTATTGATGGGTTAAGTTCATGTAAAAAGGGATTCAAAGAGAGAAGTACATTCTTTTCAAAGAAGTCAGACTTTAAGCCACGGTAACTTTCTTTCGCAGATAAATAAATTATGGGCCAGATAAAGAGCTAATAAAGTTAGCTTCATTTATTTTATTGAAAAATTCACTTTTCCTCAAAATTAGAATTAAGTTAACATTATTAAAAAAACAGTTAATATGCAATGGTTCCAAAGTTTACATTCTTTATTTTGAGAACTATGTCTGACATGGGTCTGAGGTAGATGACTGCCTCTGTCTGTTCAGCCAATCAGTTTGCTTCTAGCATCAGAGCAGGAAGGCATTTTGGGGGGACAAAAAAAATCGAGAAAAAACACATTTTCCCTTAGATTTGCATTTATGTATATTTTATTGAGGGAAAATTTGGAAACTCCTCTAAACATATGCAGAAATTGACAATGAGAAAATAGATGACCTAGAAGTTTTGCTAAATGTATGGAAAACCTAGCATGGAGCTAAAAACTGGTCAGAGATAAAGTAGATCAGAGGATTTACACAATGAACAGTAAGAATGGATATAATCTATTTTATTAGGGACTCCAGTTATACTAAACTGAAGGGAATTAGAAGACAAACTTTGTTTCTTACTTTTCAGAGAAACTGAGATGTATGTGAAAACTTGTGATGTATATTAATAGTTAAACTGAATGAATATTATTGACTAAAACCACTTGTAACAACTTATACAAATGATCCAGGGCTCAGGTCTGGAGTAACTATGTAGGAGTTTATTTTTTTTGTTTCTGATTAAATTGGAAGAAAACACTTTATAGAGTATAAATTTAAAACTAAATTTCTGAACACAGATTTCTGAACAGAGAGATAGTTGAATCTCTTTCCCTATGTATTTTTCTTCTACCCTGCTTTAATTTCAATTGTTAATTTTTTTTTACATATTCATATAGACAAGGACAAACAGAATGGGGGAAAATAGAACAAATGCTTTATTGACAATTTAATTCCAAAAATAAAATTTTAAAATCTCAAAAGAATGAGATAAAAATCAGACTAATTTGAATAATGTGGAAATCAATGTGGGTGCTGTCTCTGGGTTCTTTTGACAGAATGTAATCCTAGTGTTGATTTTTGTATTTGTTAAAAAGAAAACAAGTGTGTATATAAGGTCTAAGGTCTTTTTCAGAGCTCATATAATTATGAAAGTCAAGATTGAAATTATTTTTACTTTTTATAAAGCAAGGAAAATAGATTCACAGTGGAATCAGGCTCTCCCATGCACATGTTTTTTTTTTACAAAAACTGTTTCCATAGTTTATCAATCAAGCACATATGGTAAGGAATGAATGTACTTTCCTACTTTTTTTAGCTCTAACCACTTAGCTAATTTAAGACGCTATTCCTGGTGGAAAAAAAAAACAAATTATTGATGGGTTAAGTTCATGTAAAAAGGGATTCAAAGAGAGAAGTACATTCTTTTCAAAGAAGTCAGACTTTAAGCCACGGTAACTTTCTTTCGCAGATAAATAAATTATGGGCCAGATAAAGAGCTAATAAAGTTAGCTTCATTTATTTTATTGAAAAATTCACTTTTCCTCAAAATTAGAATTAAGTTAACATTATTAAAAAAACAGTTAATATGCAATGGTTCCAAAGTTTACATTCTTTATTTTGAGAACTATGTCTGACATGGGTCTGAGGTAGATGACTGCCTCTGTCTGTTCAGCCAATCAGTTTGCTTCTAGCATCAGAGCAGGAAGGCATTTTGGGGGGACAAAAAAATCGAGAAAAAACACATTTTCCCTTAGATTTGCATTTATGTATATTTTATTGAGGGAAAATTTGGAAACTCCTCTAAACATATGCAGAAATTGACAATGAGAAAATAGATGACCTAGAAGTTTTGCTAAATGTATGGAAAACCTAGCATGGAGCTAAAAACTGGTCAGAGATAAAGTAGATCAGAGGATTTACACAATGAACAGTAAGAATGGATATAATCTATTTTATTAGGGACTCCAGTTATACTAAACTGAAGGGAATTAGAAGACAAACTTTGTTTCTTACTTTTCAGAGAAACTGAGATGTATGTGAAAACTTGTGATGTATATTAATAGTTAAACTGAATGAATATTATTGACTAAAACCACTTGTAACAACTTATACAAATGATCCAGGGCTCAGGTCTGGAGTAACTATGTAGGAGTTTATTTTTTTTGTTTCTGATTAAATTGGAAGAAAACACTTTATAGAGTATAAATTTAAAACTAAATTCTGAACACAGATTTCTGAACAGAGAGATAGTTGAATCTCTTTCCCTATGTATTTTTCTTCTACCCTGCTTTAATTTCAATTGTTAATTTTTTTTTACATATTCATATAGACAAGGACAAACAGAATGGGGGAAAATAGAACAAATGCTTTATTGACAATTTAATTCCAAAAATAAAATTTTAAAATCTCAAAAGAATGAGATAAAAATCAGACTAATTTGAATAATGTGGAAATCAATGTGGGTGCTGTCTCTGGGTTCTTTTGACAGAATGTAATCCTAGTGTTGATTTTTGTATTTGTTAAAAAGAAAACAAGTGTGTATATAAGGTCTAAGGTCTTTTTCAGAGCTCATATAATTATGAAAGTCAAGATTGAAATTATTTTTACTTTTTATAAAGCAAGGAAAATAGATGTGATATTTCTTAACTGGCTACAAGTAAAAACTATATGGAATTATTCACTTACCACATGACCATCTTGAATTTCATTCAGCTCAGAATGTTTGGAACTTGATTTCTGACGTTTAGGTTTGCCCCTTTCTTCAATATAATCAGAAGGATTTTCATATAATTTTTCTACTTCCTGAGCATTCAAAATACAGTCATCAAGGTTGCTGACCCCATAAGGAATATTTTCTTTGTTGATAAGTCCCCTTGAATTGAAAAAAAAAATTTGACTTACTTTTATTTTAAAAGGTAAAAGGAACATTTTAATGACATTGCCACAGTATCACATTGAAAGTCAGAAGAGTTTCCAAAAAATCCAGTTTGCACTTTTGATAAAAATGTGAGCAGAGTGCCACTCCTGAGACCACCTGGTTCCAAATAAATCACATTAAAAGAGACATTATCCCTAGAGGCAAATTAGCAAGGACTGTGTTTCTACCAATGAACAGCATCTGCAATTGTAGGAAGAATAGTTCAAGCTTACAAAGAAATTTCCCATTATCCACAGATTTTATACACACACATTAATCTTATAAATTAACACAATGTATGGAGAAAAATATGAAGAGGAACTATGTCTCTTTTCTAGAATGGGCACTGATTTTCCACGTGATAAAGACAATTTAGCATAGTTGAAAAGTGTTAATACTTAAATCTGACTTTGTTGGATAATCTTAGAAATAGTATAATAAAAACTACAGAATCAAAAGCATTTTAACTGAAATACAAATTTGTTACTTCCCTGTACAAGGAGTTCCAGGATATAAGCTTATAACTGGAGATCATTCATTACATAGTTTTAGAAGTAGGTATGAATGTCATAATTATAGAATTTAATTCCTTTAATGTTCTTGAACAAGTCTTCTTTAAGTATTTTAAACATTCCCTGAAGGTTTTCACAAAATTAAATTACTTAGCAAACTGTTTATTTTTTACTATATCAGAGAATAAATTAAACCATCACCGCAGCCCCATGGCTTGAAAGGGTGCAAATGAATGAGCTCTTACTCTCCCTCATGGTATGACTGAGTTAGGGTACCTCTTTAAACACTAAAGCTGTATGTAGAAATAAATGAACTCTAAAGAGTAAAATAGATGACCATATTTTACTGTCAGTTCAACCAGTAAAATACAGTTGAATATTTTAAAATATCCAGAAATGAAAGGTAACATTAAATATTCATTCTGCAATCTAAATTCATATCCTGTCTTTGATGGGCTATCACAGAGGCCATCTAAGAATTAAATATTGAATTATGAATTAAATATTGTCATAATATTTTCAGTTGGTGATTTTTAACATTCCACAGTTAATTTAGTATTTTATAAAATTTTAATATGTAAAAATATTCAGTAAAATTGCATAAAAGATTTATGTAACATTTATTAGAAATATCCTGAGATAAAATAATCAAAGACATAAACAGAAGCTGACAGAGACTAACATTCCGTCACATTTACGCACTCAAACACTGTCAAATCTCTCCCCTCCCTGAACTGACAGCAATGCCTTCTGTCGATGGCTGGATGAGTTTGGTCTGAAATTCACAATTATTTGTTTTACTATTTAAATTCTGTCTTATCACTCTTCATATTTTCCCTGACTCCTGGGGTATACATCCAATTATAGTTTTTTTAATGGAGGGGTTTTTATGTTTGAAAGCTCTTATGACTGAATTGTGTTCCCCAAATTCATATGTTGGAGCCCTACCTCTCAGCATGACTATTGCTGGAGACAGGGCCTTCAAGGAGGTAATTAAGGCTAAAAAAGGCAATAAAGGTGGGGGTCATAATCCAGCAGAGCAGGTATCCTTAGAAGAAGAGCTCTAGGAGAGCATGCACGCTGAGGAGAGACCTTGTGAGGAAACAGTGAGAAGTCACCATCGGTGAGCCAGAGAGAGGTCTCATCAGAACTCAGCCCTGTGAGACGCTGCTCTCAGACGACTTCCAATCTTCCAGAGCTGTGAGAAAATTAATTTCTATTGTTTAAGCCACCCAGTCTGTGGTACTTTGTTATGGTGGCCCAAGCTCACTGACACAAAAACTAGAAATTATTTTTAGAAATTAAAAGACAATGTTAATTTTATAATCCTTTTGAATAGGGAATGAATGACTGGAATAAATCCTATCAAAATAAATATGTGAAAATCTGATTGTGCAGTTGTGCTCATGTGGAAACCCTGTTACCTCAAAGGAAAGCCTTTGTTTTTGTGTGAATTAATGCCTCTCAGCCATAGTACTTGAGTAGTGAGGAGCGCTGGCACATAATTCCTTCATGCAACATTCTGACAGGTTTCAAATATATCTGACATCACTTAGATTTGACCAGAACTTAGATCCCTGTGGCCTCTCACTTTAATTATATAGATCTTATTTCTAGTTTCCCCCCACCCCAAGTTTTCTCCTCATCCCTACAGATACACTTACTATTCTAGTAATACTGAACTATTTATTATTCCCCAATAGAGCATGCTTTTTAAAATACTGCATTTAATATTTACTTTGCACTTTATATAATATTTACATAACAAAACATTTGTATAATATTCCAGTTCATTGTGCTTTGGAAGACTGAAGCCATTTTCACTTAAATGATGCTTTGTTCTTTTAAAAAATAAATTTATTATGAAATTTTCACACATATAGAAAAGTAAGAGACTATTACAATGAACTTCTATCCCATCATACATCTATCACCAAGATTCAGCAACATTTCCATGCATCCGGCAGACGGTAAATTTTTTAACAAATGAATTAAACTGAACTCTTTCACATAATGAACATATTCTATGAACTTTTACATTTTTTATTGGCACTAATAATAAAAGCCTGATAATGTTTTCTTATATGAGTTTAGACAAATAAAAAATCATCTGCACTTAAAATAAAGTATTTATTGTGTTAGTCTATCTTCTTATTTCTTAGAATATCTAAGTATTTATTTTTATTTTTTTATTTTTGTATCATTAATATATACTTACATGAGCAACACTGTGGTTACTAGATTCCCCCCATTCTCAAGTCCCCACCACATACCCCATTACAGTCACTATCCATCAGTGTAGTAAGATGCTGTAGAATCACTACTTGTCTTCTCTGAGCTATACTGCCTTCCCCATCTAAGTATTTCTTATTTCAAAAATCTGCCATGAACTTCAGTAAGACTTTATTGACTTTTTAATCTCATCTTGAAATGAGGTCATCATTGGCTTCAAGGACTTTTTTTTTTAAATTGGTGGCAGCTCTAAGTTCTTACAGGCAAAATAATAGACAAGCCTACAATGAATTTCTATTTTCAAAACACATTTTTAACCACTCTGTAGAGTTAGTAGTTTTGAAGAGAATAAAGTCTAGTTTAACCTTTATTTTTTAAGAAAAGTCTAATGAAACCTTTGATAAATCAATTATTACATACAAGCACATACTAAGAAAAACATATTTGCTATAGGCTATAATAGTGATTCTTGACCTTCACATAATCAGTGATACCTTAGTGCATCTCCTGGGGTCACAGTGAGGAGGACTTTCATGGGGGCAAAAGTAGTAGGTCTGGAGCCTTAGAGATAAAGGCCTTGCTCAGCAAAGACCTGGAAGGCTCAGAGAAGCTGTTACAGTGTGTCAGGTTAACAGGAGACCTTATGGCTAGGAGGGTGAGGCCAACAAGGAGCACAAGAGGGCACTTCTGAATCCTAGACCAGGTACCAAGGACAAAGAGGCAAGACTGTTTGTAAGCCCCTCAGGTACGTACAGTTTGCACCCCAAGATTCTCTCATTCAGTGTGCAGTTCTCATCTGACCACAGTGAGTAAGCAGAATATTGTCAAGGAAATGCCAGAGATGAGAACTTAAGGGAAAGGCTAGAGTTTCATGGGTCTTTAGAAGATCAGTCAGTGTCTACCATTCTCCATCCCCTTTTGTTCCCCTGGCATTGAAAGTAAAATATAACCAAGATAACTTACAGTAGAAGCATTCTTGGACTTGGGAAACTCTGTTTAAATTCTGCAGAAACATTACCCTATGTTTCACATTTCTCTCCCTGGACAGCCCCAGTTCACTTTGACTTTATGCCCCTGAGCTGGTCCCTGCCTGCAGCCATGTGGCCACTGTCAATACCCCGGCCCAGCTTTGTCCCCTTTCATGCTTCATGGCTACTTCCAACCCAACCTCTGCTTGCTATCACTCTGTCCAAACAAAGAGGGTGAAAAGCACAGTGTCATGACACACTAGGACATTTAAAAAATGCCAAATGTTGCTACATACTACTTGGCAAAAAATAAGGCAGAGGATAAGAACAATGTTAAATGATTTGTTCTTGCTGTATAACACAGTGTAAGTGGTACAGAAACGAATTATACTCCTAAACACTTTCTCTGAAGCTTAGTCAGTAGCTCACTTTAAACGTAAATGTCTCCTGTAATTTTTCCATTTTCTAAAGGGAATATTATAGCATTCTCTTCTTCCCACCAGCTCCAAGATAAATGGTTTTTTAAAAGAGTGCTGCTTTTGTCACTTCAAAAAATCAGTGGAATTTTTTTTTTAAAAAACTTTGAAACTGTTTTGTTTCTAAAATTACATTTGTTAATATAACCCTGAAGCAGCTAGATGATGTGCAGCATGGAATTTATTTACACTATTTATCTTTAGTGTCTTCAAGCAAAAAGAAATTTCTTTTTTCTATAAAGACTTTGATTATGAATTCAGGCAAAAAGAATGAGGGGACTATGGTCTGGTTTAGTCTTTGACATTTAATAAGGAGTTCAAAACAACTTTTATAGAGACTAAATGCTACAGAAGATAAAAATAAACTTAAAATTTTGGGAAAAATAATATGAATATAATTGATTATATATACATTTGTTTTTCTTGACAATTTAAATCATGATTACTCAATAATATGACTGGTAATTATTCATTGGTATTTTATCAAGTCTCTTAATGGAGAATAAAGCTCCCTATAATACTATTATTGAAATTCATGCTGTGGGGATGCCTTAATATTAGTCATTATAATAATGAAGGACACAAGCATTTCCTCTTTTAATCAGATTAAGCTCAACCTTTCTTATATTAAAACAAATAATCAATGGTCAGAATATTATAGTGATATTCTAGCATTTAATCAGGTCAAAATACAGTAGGGAAATCTGGTGGTTCATAAACTAGTCTAATAGCTAAATGCATGTTGTCTAGCAAGAAAAAAAAATCTCTGGACAGGCTTATGGCAATTTTTTTCTCCAGTGGTTCAGCATACCTCTAAATAAGATATTCATGCGGAAGCCACGAAATGTAGTAAATCAGAGATGATTTCCTACAACATGTCCAGATGAAATGAAACATTTAGACAAAACTGAAATTTATTCACTCACCTATGAATTTCCAAATGTTAGCTAAGTTTAGTTAGCTAATTTAAAAGAAACTTTCAAAGTTTTAACCTAAATACTCAAATGGGAGGGTCTGTGTGCCACAGTGACTCATTTAGGTGCACATTTTTAAAAGAAGAAGAGAAAATGCAAACAAGAAGTACTAATACCAACTCACACATCTCTGCCATGTCGAACTTCACCCTGCTCTTTGGATTGGTGTCGTCGGTGTCTGGCAGATGTAGAAGATGCTGATGATGCTCCAGATTCTGAGTCCTCTGAACTTGGGCCTCCAGAACAATTAACATCAAAGAGATGCTGTTCTACAGCTGAACGGATGGTTCTTTCCAAGAGTCTAGTGAAAAAGATTGAGTGTCAATCAAGTAATCACATTTATCAATGACTGCTTTTAAATATATGTGCCCATAATTTTGGAAATAATGGTATTTCCAATGGAAGAACCACTACAGCTACATGAGCAAAGGTGGTACATGGCATTAATCTCAAAATACTTGCACTGCATGTTAAAAACAAAACTTAACCAATTCTGCCAATATGATAACGGTGTTTCTCATCTTTGTTAGTCCAGGATTACTGAAATGCTCACAGCAAGTCTAGCTCACAGCAATTACAGGAGGCATTCAGTAAAGAAGGGCCATTTAACATAAGGCAGAATGTGGAAAGATTTTTTCCTCATAATAATAATGGACCTATCCTTACAAAGGCGAGTTTCCTCCAGATCTCATACTAGTGCTGCAGAGGAAGACAGTATGATTTACAAAGCAAATGATTTTATGATGCTTATTGTCTATATAGAATCCCTTTAAGATAAAATTATATAGGGAATAATGCTATTAAAAAAGAACACCTCACCAGAACAATAAGTATTCACCAACAGAAGAGCAAAATCTTTCCAAGCCTTTATTCAATTAAATTGTGATATATATATAAACATAATTAAAGCTGTATTCATGCAAACACCTCAATATGTATTACTGAAGATGGAAGGATAAATTTCCTTTGCTCAACCTGAGGAAAATAGGTGAGCACAGGGGCTGAAAAGAGTGCATAAGATAACTAAGGTATCATTTCTTCATAAGGACCAAATCTTTCCATGTATCTAAACTTTTCATCATCACACTATTTAATTCTGAATAAGCTGGCACAGATATTTCTAATCTTACACTCCTCAGAGCATGTTTTCCTTCACTTGAAAAAAGAATCACATCCAAGCTCATCAATTTGTATACATTAAATGTGTAGTTTTTATATATCAATTATACCTCAATAAAGCTGTGAAAATTTAAAAAAAGAACACATGTGTATTGTTTAAATGTTCATATTGAGAAATGCATTTTCTTCAATAAAATGTGTTTTAAAAAATTGAAGAATTTTAGATTTCTAAATGTAGTTTTATAATAGACTCATAGTAATTTCAGTAAAACTACTTTAAAACAATGAGCAAGTCTAGTCTAACTAGGGCATTAGACCGTCCCTATTTAGAACACCATATCCCAATAATTATAACATTACCTAATAGGCGTACACAGAAATATGAGTAAATTAATAAGTACATACAGACCAACCCCACTTTTTCCAACTATACAAGACATACAAGAAGTAAAGGTTATCAGAAAACACACAGGCACAGACACATGAGTCTGGGTATAATTCTGGAATCTCTTTAAAATTCACAAAGCCAAGAGAAGTCAGTCCTGCCCTTTGATTGCTTCCTTGCCTAATGAAGAAAAAAAAAAAACCCAATTCATCCTATTAGATCCAAATTCTATGCCAGTTAGTGGTTCTTCTAATACTTCTCACTTCCTATCACATCACATCTTCCCCTCCACTCCCACCTCAGCTCTGCTCATAGAAGATGCTGCAAAGAGGCCCACCTGAGTCCCAGCAAAGAAGAGAGGTGGGTGTAATGGAAAGTCTTTGGGCAAGGAACTATTCACAAATATATATTTAGTGCCTGATATATGCCATGTACCCTTCTAGGTATTATAGATACAGCCAAGAATGTGACAGACAAGGCCCCTGTGTTTACGGAACTTACATAATCATTATGAGGCCAGACACAAAATAAATCAAGAAATTTCAGAGAGTGATAAATTTGCTACCAAACAGACTATGAGGTTGGAGAATTACTGTGGATAGCTGGGGATGGCTTTTCCGATGAGACGGTGAACAAAGAGCAGAATGGTAAGAAAGTGAATGGCCAGGTGGAGGAACAGCCAGTGCAAGGGCTCTGTGGCAGATAGAAGCTTGGCCTGTTCCAGAAACAGAAGGTCATGTGCTTGTAGCATAATGAGCAGTGGGGTCAGAGAAGCAGGCAAAGGCAGGTAAACAAAGTTTAGATTGTGGTCTAAGCACAATTGGTAGCCTTAGGAGGAAAAAGACATGTGATGGACATAACAGAGCACTGCCACTGCCCTATGGCAGAAGGACTTACTGCCATCACTAATTCAATTTCTCTTCTGTGTCTCCGTTAGAATGTCAAGTCCCTTACGGCAGAGCCCAAACATTACTTGACATTACACACCTACCACTATGCTTGACATCTTGCAGGTTCTCAATAAATGTAGGCTGATTAAAATTAGCGAAGAAGTAAAGCTGCAGTGAATACTTCAACCCTTAATTGCATCTTCCACTGCAAGAAGACCCCCAAAGCACATAGACTGATTTACAAATACTGACTCTGAGATTATTTTCACTGAAATAAATAAAACTCTCATATGTTTAAATGACTGAACTGTCTCTAGTTGCATACCACACAGGGCTCTTATTTAGTCATCTCTGTGTAGTTTTAAAAATTATCCTTGATTGCCTATTGATATTGGTCTCCCAATACTACACACCATTAGAATACTTTTCTGTTTACTAAGTGAGAAAAGAGGGGAAGAGCCAACCCAAATAACTTACTCTCCAGTTGTTGAAACATTGTTGACTTGGGATACGTGGGCACTGTGGAAAAGAAGCAAAGAGAAAGTAAATCAGATAAGAGAGAGGACCAGATACTGAGCCAGACACCTGAAGGGGATCCCAGGCTTCAATTATTAGCCAGGTCCCCAAGTGACCCTCATGCGACGTTTAGCCATCCAGTCAGATGCTCACATTCCCTTGTTTTTAGAATTAGAGATGACCCTAGGTGTTTATTTCTGACCAGTCTTTTTTTTTTTCTCCATTTTAAAGATGTCCATGACAGTTTTTCAAAGAACCTTTGAAAACCATCTACCTCTCATTCTACTACCAGGGCCCTAATTCAGGGTCTTTTCATCTTCCTCAAATGTTAATGCAACTGCTGCTGACTGCCTTCCTACTATCCACTCTACCCATGCTCTGCCCTTCCTAGCCCAAACCTGTCAGCTCCTCACCTGCCTCTTCCAGACCTGCTGACAAAAAAGCAGGGGCCACAGGGGATAGGGAACAGGGAACCAACATTGTTTTCTACACGACTATAGATCTAGCTACCTTTTATTTCCAAGTTCCTGAAGAGGGAAAATACCCCAGTATCTATAATGTTTCATCTTAACACCTAATTTACAGCCCTTTTGTTTAATATTATAAACTTCCTCTACTTAAAATATTTTCTTCAAAGCTTGAATTCCTTTGAAAATTTTCGAAAGTAGTCAACATAGAGAGGAATGGTGAAATCACAGAACACTCTCTGAGCACCCTTCTTGGCCTGTCTGGTCTGCCCTCTATGTTCACATTACCACAGTGAGGGGTCAAGGCTGGCAGCTATTTTAATTGAATCAGTATTAGCACTTCCTCGATTTCTGTCCTCTAGTGCTTAGTTGGCTTCTACATCAGGATTCAAAAGTATGTTTAAAAAGGGATAAAAACAAATCGTTAGTACATGTCAAGCTATAATTTTGCCTAATAGGTCTAATAGTTCTTTCTCCCCAACCTTCTTTGTAGAAGGCACCTGAAGTAAAGCTGTTAATGATCAATATGGGTGGTTGATTTTCAATCACTCCAACATCTTCATTTATCCTATGTAATTTTAACCCATGAACAAATTGTTTTGGAACCATCTGATGTTCATGTCTATCTCATCTCTTTCCATTCAGAATCTAAGTGACTCAGGGACTGTAGATATTCCTCATTTTCTTTCACTACACTTGCTCCTGCTCCTACTACTACCACAGCCAGCAGAGTGGGCATCATTCCAGAGGTGATGAACAGACCCTCACCCTTTAGCCCCCCAAAATTCCTTGTAGTTAAAGCCACAGTTGTTTGTCGTGGTGACAAACCACAGCCGAGTTCCAGAAAAACTCCGTAAGATAATGCTGTTGTTCACCAGGGAAACTGATAAGAATCTTAATGGACAAATGAACAAACAAATAAATATCCCCTAACCTAACACTTACTGAGTATGAACTGTGTTTCAGGAACTGTGCTAAATCTTTTTTATATAGATTTTCTCACTTACTGTTTTTAATAACCCCATGGGGTAGGTATTGTTGGTTTTTTTTGCTCTATTTTCTTAAGAAGAGGTTAGAGAGGTTAACTAACTTGCCCACAGTCATACAGCCAAGACGTATATGAGCTGGGTTTCAAACCAAGAAAGTTTTAGTTCAGAATCTAAGCTCTTCATCACTACATTCGTTGTTCCTCACTCACTACAAGAAAAATTTACTAGAGACATCTTTATACAAGGCCTGGACTCAGGTATTTTACTTTGCTTTTAATCACAACCATTTCTAGTTTGCCTCATAATGCCTATTATTCATAGTGGTTCCCAGGTTACATAACTAAAAAATAAATCCTTTGCTTCTCTGTCCTTAACTGAAACAGGCAGTCCCTGGGTTTCATGATTTGTGGCTCACCCTCTGTAAATTCAACACTGTATAATTAACTCCTGTATGCCATGTCTCACTACAGTTACACAACCTTGGTTTTGGGAACAGGGACCAATGTGAATAATGACTGAGGGAACCTAGAAGAGTAAAGAGAATGTAGATCTGCTAGATACTAAAAATATTCCAAAGCTATGCAATTAATTAGCCAATATGCCCCTTGCCATCTCAGAATGAAGAGATATATTTCCTCTTCCTCCCTTCTACACACTTTGGTCTTGAACTTCTTTTTGCTTATTGAAGTACACACTGATATTTTTATGTTTCTTTCTTTTTTTTATTTTTGGCAGGGGATAGGGGTGGGAGGTGAAAAAAGGAAGGCAAGAAGAGACGAGGAAAATGACAACAGGACCAGATTCTGAGATTGCTAACTCTCTAAGTAAGTGCTTCTCAAATTCTAATATGCTTCAGGTTCATCCAGGATCTTGTACACACACAGATTTGGATTTAGCAGGTCTAGATCTAGGGAAGGGGAAGCTGAGATTCTGCATTTCTAACCAATTCCCCAGTGATTCTGATGCTGATGATTTGTGGAACATACTGATTAGGTCTAATTCCTTGCACCTAAAATTCTTTGACTTCAATTACCCAGATATCACAATGTCAGTAGCCTTAAGTGAATAAAAGATAACAAATTCCCCTCCCAGCTTAAAGAAAAATGACCTGAGCCATCTAAACTGGTCTTAAAGAGCCTTTCTCAGGAAGCATAATAATGAATAAACCAATAATAAAACCAAGGTATTTGAATCATTCATTTTTTTTGCTAACATACTGATATTAGGTAGAATTTATGATAAATTTATATTTTTATGTTCAATAGTCCTTTGGAATTTTTGGTATACTTAATATGCCTATACTTTCACATTTTAAAAGAGAATTTCTCAAAGAAACTATTCTGAGAAGAGAATACTTTCTATTGGGAATCAGAAAAGAGAAGTTCTTTCTTGTCCCGGCTCCGCGGGTCGTTGGTGGGACTCATAGGCCGCTGGTTTGCTTGGTGGCTTTGGTTGGCTCCTTCACACAGGAAATGAAAGGCATGCCTGGTGAGTGGGCTCTGTGGTTGTCTTTAAGCTCTAACAGCTTACTGCCCTAGGTTTCAATCACTACAGAAGGTTATAAGGGCATATTTAGTTCTACGACACAGTGAGAATGGTAGTTATGGTTTATTAGACACCAAAATGGCTTTGCTCAGTTACCCAACTACCTCCACAGTCATTGTGGAATGTGCTTAATAATTTACCACAAGAAGAGTTCTAAGAATATTTAATGTCAGAAATAGGGACTGCTTCAGTAGCTATAACTGGTTCTTGGAGGGTAAGACAGGAAAAAAAAGCAATAAGCAAATAAACTGAAGTGAAAGGTAGAGAGTTCCTTCATCTACTTGTAGCTTGTTTTTTATACTCTGCAGACAGCTAAGAATAATGAATCTTTTTTCAAAACCATTGATTGATTTGCTAAGAAAATTCCTTCTTATACAATATAAAGTCTTGAATATAGAAGAGTTCACTGTCTAATGTTAATAAAGCAAATATTCAAAACAGAAGGAAATAAACTCAGTGCAGACTCTAGCATTACAGTCAATTTCATTACCCAAGTGATGATGCAACCGACAGAGTAATTTACAATAGATTCTAGCCTACTCTGAAATACATTCTATGACATATTTAAATATATTCAGTCTTTATTAGCAAAACCCGAACTACATTTTTCTAAGCTGATTATGGTTGGCAATATTACTATACAAAATTTGCATGTGATAAGATGCACAGAATGCCTGTTGACAAGTGATTCTTTAATTAGATCTCTTGATCTGAAATCTACATATAAAAAGAAAGGAGTTTTTGAATCTATGAAAACCAGACATATTGAAAAAGCATGTGTCCTCTTTTTCTATATGTTGTCTTCAGAATGTTCTCTTTTCTACGGTGTATAAAATCTTACCTGTAAAATACAGTTTTAATATTATTGTTAGAACCATTAGGTCTAATAGAATTTTCTTTTTCTCTGGAAGATAATATTTACCTTTACTCAATTTTTCTAAAGAGTAAGAATTTAAGACAATTATGTCATGTTTAATCCTAAGGATGAAGATCATATACCTAATCATCAAAATAGCATGAAACTCTTAATTTGTCTACATAATAGAATATTTTAGTGTCATCATAAAATATAAAAAGCTGACATGAAGTCTCACCATTATAATAATTGTAACATATTCCTTGTAATTGCATAATGGATTTCTAAATTAAGATTTTCTTCACAATTTTAGTTCATTCTTCAGTGTCATATATTAAAACAAATATACTCAATCCTCAATATATATTCATTTTGCTTTAACTTTTAGCTATGACTATCATATGCAAAAATTTAACAGCATATTTATAGATATTTAGATACCTACATATTGACCTGAATATATAGGTATATGACAACTTTTTATCACCCATTTGTAGTGGTGTTAAAGACAGTTTCAGTAAAAAAGCCTCACATTTTGGTTTCAAATTATATACTATGCATATATTACTAGAACATAAACTGAAAGCATATTACATGGATATGGATGAATAGAAAGAAAATATTCACATGCTTCACTGAACCTACCACTTCCATTTCCTTCAAATATTGTAATTGCTTTAAAGAAAAAGTTATTCACCATTCCTGTATCTTGATACTCTATTAAATATTTTATAACAAATTAAATAAAACCCATCAAAATGCCAAAAATACTCACCTTTTGTATAGCTTCTTTCAGGCCCTAATTTTTGGAGTCTTCAGTTTTATATATTTTTGCATGTTTTTGCACAGAGGGAATTCAGCGTTTCTTTTAGACCAAGGTCTTCATAAAACAAAATTATGAAATAAAATGGATAGTTCACTATATATGCCATACCCATTTATAGATGAGGAAACTGAGGTTCACAGATGTTTAGTATCTCATTTAAATTTACACAGCTCTGATTCTATCTCATGTACTATGGCTTCAGGATGCATTTTTAATGATGTAATTCTTATTCTCAAATAATATTGTTCACATACATCTTTGGGTATAAATATAGATATTTTCTTCCTAGAATAGATTACTATTGGTACTTTTTTGGATTC